AAAAAAATGGTATACAATACTTGGCTTCTTGGTGGAGTGCAGATCACTTTTTTAATTGAAGACTTTCCATGATAATTAGAAATTGGAAGGTTTATTTTGATTTATGGAGTTTCTTTTGTCTTATTTTGCGCTCTGTTGCCTCCATTCTGGGGGATTAGTTGGTTGTACTTTCTTGAGTTTTCTCAGTTAAAGTTTCTCTTTTCTAAAAGAAAAAAGAAAAGAGGAACAGACTGTAGAAAAGAAATAGAAACCCAGAAATGTAGCATTGAACAACAGTTATCAAATTTCTGAGGAATATTTGACCCACATTTACACATTTTAAGTATTTAATGAATTGGATTGACTGGTCCGCTAGTGTAACAATCTCGTCATCTTGATCTATCAAGAGTTCATGAATGTCATGTCATGCTGTTAATTAACCTTAACCCACTGAATCCTATATTTATTTGAATAACATTTCTTGACATCATGATAAATCCTCATCTTTGGCTGTAGCAATTTTAAGCATTATGATCCTGCCATCTTTGGAGTTCCCGGTTTTTTGCATTGTCGTCCATGAGTTCCATAGTTAAAAAATAAAAATAAAATAAAAACATACCAGGCACGTAACAAACGCATGAAACTCTCAAAAGTCTGGAATGGTGACCAAAATGCATTGATGACAAAAAAATGATTTAATTTTGCTAACAAATGTTGTAGCCTCTAGGGTCAGGTGGTTGCCCCGTGAAGATTAGTTGAGGTGGGCGTAAGCTGGTCCGGACACTCATGGATATCAAAAGAAAATTAGGCTAACAAGTGTACTAGCAGCATGATAAATCCCTTGTATTAACGTGTATTGTTGGGAAGAGGGAGAAAGTGAATGAGACAAAAGAGTAGGTTGTTAAGCGTGGGACCCTATGTAACTAAAAAGTTTCTGATGTAAGCATGAGAATTCTGTGAGTACTTACATGGTTATGTAAGATACATTGTATAAAGAAAGGTACACTTTTGGTGAGGGATCTAAGTATTGAGAGAATAATTTTTCCCCTAGATATGTGTCACTCCGATCTTATCTGTAAGAAGAACTGTATCTCAACCGTTGTCATGCTACAGGTAAGAAATCATCATTTAATTTAGTCTGCTAGTAAGCTACCCCCTAAAAATTAGAAGACTCTAAATATCAAGAATAATAAGCCCCCAAACGGCAACCCAATTGACAAAGACTTGAGGTCTCTTGGTCATATTGGCTCAGAGGTCTCAAGTTCGAACCTTTCAGTAAGCTTAATACCAAAATCCTTGATGTCTCCCGGGTTCAGACCTTGGGACGGGTGCAGATACTCTTGGGTATAGAGGAGCAAAGCTCCGTCCCCCGGTTATCAAAGAAAAAAAAAACAAGAAAAGAAAAGAAAAGAAAAGATCAGAAATAATGATTGACATTGCGGTTATTACTTGAAAATTAATTCAGAGTATGAAAATTAATTCAGAGTAGGAAAGAAAGTTGGAAAGCTGGAGACAAGAGTGTCTCCCTTGATCAAGCAAGCTTAGCTCTCCATGTTTGTGTGAGCCTTTCTTGCTCGTGCCCACGGCCTGTCTTCAAGTGTGAAACATCAAATTCATATTGTTTCTAAAGGAAACTTGCTGAAAGACTCAGGGGAGCAAGAAAAAATTCAGTCTGTTTGCTGAAAGCATCTACTTACCAAATTACCTTTTAGCTTAATCAATCAAAACTAGTCTGGCCTTGGGTAACCCCCCGAAACCCATTGTTGGTTTTCTGGAATCATTCCTCATTGGCAACCCCTTCAACAAGGCCAGAAGGATTTTTTGGCTCCCTCCAACTTTCTAGATTATGGTTGGTTGGAGCGTAACAATAGTATTTTTATGGACGAGGAAACTTATATGGACAAATTCATAGATGACACTTCTTGTTTAGCTCTCACATGGTGTAAATTATACTCACCATTCAATTGCTATAAATCTAGTTGATCTATATACACCAATTGGAAGAGGTTTTCTTTTTTAATTTTTAATTTTCTTTAATCTGGGGCTTGGCTTTTCTCCCCCACCTTTTGTCCATGCCATCTATGAAATGGGTTAAAAAAGGTATGGCCTTAGGTAAAAATGGGTAAAAATTGGAAATACTCTCCCTAGGCTAAATTAAGGGTCCCGATCCCAAATTAAATTTAGTTATCAAATGGGGCCCAAATAAATTTCTCAAAACGTCATGGAAGTGAAAATAGTGGCTAGTTACACACATAACTGCACAAATTAACGAAATCTCCTTAATACAAGTCTGGTATGTTACAAGCTTTTTCCCTTGTTATCATCAGGCGCTTATTCCCTCTAACAACTCTGGCAAATTAAACCATCCTATATTACTAGCTCATATACTTACTAAGTAATCCATTTACTTACTGAATCCCCATTCCTAACAATGCTTGATGCTGAAATATCACCTAGTCCTCAAGGTAATGAATATAAAGTAGCATTCTTCAATGTAGGCTTCCCCGCTACGATCAATCCACAACAGAAGGAACTGACCTTTTACCTTTGTCGAATACCCACCTCACATTTGCCTCCCTTTCACCATGCCTCAGAGGTAGCAACTTGTGCCTTTTACCACTTTACCATGATAATAATAACACTTGAGTATTAAGAGGACCTACGTTCTGTACTATCCTTCTGCATGAAGAAAAGGTAAGTTCATATGTTCAGGATGCTATGACGTAATATAAATAATATGCTACACTAGGTTGGAAGTTTAGATTTTCTGGAGGGACGATAATTTGAATATGTGATGAAGCTGAGTCCTTTCACATTCTGTCAAACCTTTTTCTTTATTCATCTCTGTATTACCTTTTCTTTGTTACTCCCTAAATCTCTTTAATTTGTTATAATAGTGGCAATCGGCAAGGAAGGGGGTTCAAATGCACTGCAGGAACAATGGCGTCAGAAGCAGTGGCTCTTTTTCGAAGTTTTTACGAACAGGGGAATCCTAATGGTATGCAAAATTATTTTGATAATCTGATCTGCACGATTCACTCGTGTATTGCACATTGAATCTTCCAAAGAGACCAGCTTATTTTGTTGGTATAATCTATTTGTTGATTCTTGGTCTTTTTGGATCAAAAGACTATGAAAAGATGTATTACGTTTTAGAGGTTTGATTGGTTGTGGTGATGTTCTGTTGCAGCTCCAAAACCTCACAGGCCACTAGTTCACCATCAAGCTGGTCAATGAGAGACTGTTGATGAGTTTACTTTTGGTTACGATACCATTCCTGTCAAAACCGGCACTAACAACGATAAGAGCTTTTGGAACTGGAAAAGGGGTTCAGATGAAATTCAATCCACACTTAATTCTTGTCTCAAACAATATCAGTTTCGAGCTTGACGATACCAACCTGAAGGTCATTGCTTTATGTTTTGAGAGTAGGATATTTCTGCACACTTGGCATTGGAACTGCTACCTGAACGACTCCTATATGTTCATATTGATTCAAATGTTCTATCACATTGTAATTAAATTCTTTTCATCTATTTGACTCAAATTTCAGCCTTAACCAAAAACTATTCCTCGATCCAAATGTTGTCTACAAATAGATTTTGCTGGAAAATCAAATTGGTAGAGGGAGAGTTGTGATTGAAAACCAGAGATGATGTGCGAGGAAAAGAAGATTGAAGAGAAAGAAAAGGCTAGAAGAAAAGCTCCACTACAATATGATTTGATTTGATTCAAATATGGCAGAGAATTAGATATGTCTCGTCTTAAGTCACTATTTGAATTTGAATTTGTTTCATTTATGCTGAATTATGGCGTTGCGAAACTCAAATGAAAGACAAATAGAATGAAGCCGTTCTAGATGAAAGTTGATGGAAGTGTTGCCTTTTTTGGGCTGCTGCACACAAAATGCTCGAGTGGCGTGGGAACTTGCATCTTGCTAGTTGGGGACTCTGTTTCATTTTCTTCCATTTGGAAGATTTGTTTACATTTTTATTTTTCATATCCTTTTATTTGTTATATTGAATGGAACACAAACAAGGTTGTCATTACTATGTGAACATTGGTTGATATACAAGTGCCATTGTTTTGAGAGTGAATATTGGAAACAAAATTGTATATGGAATTGCTTGAAGATTAGTTCATCTAAACAATTTGTTAAAGGTTGGAGTTGCTTCAATGTTAATAATAGATTTGATGATCAAATGACATTCATTTTGATTATAGAGCTTAAAGCCAAAATTTCGATTCTAGTCTAAATTCTAATATAGTATACCTCGAGAGAAGATATGTCTCTTGTAATGTTTGAAATGGTTATTTTGATGTGCAACAATTCTAAGGAAAGTTTTTCGAATGAGTTAGCATTATGGAGAAATGTCATTTATACGAGACAACATGCGTATGTGAAAGTTTTTCATGGATGTCAATTTATTGATGAAATTGAGTATCATTTTTACGCTCCATTGTTAACGACAATGAAACATTTTCTCAAAAGAAATTGAAAAAGATCTTTTAATAAAAAACATATCAATATCATGGTTTGAACTGATCTAAAATATACCGGTAAGTACCAAAACTCTGAATGGAATAGATTTTTCTAATTCAATCAAAATAACTTTTTTTTTCTCAACCATTTAACTTTTTTGACAATAATTTTGAATTGATTCAATAGTTGAATTCATATATATTTTTCTTAGAATATAACATCACAAATACAATTTGAGTTGGAGAGATAACTTAGTTTTCATTAGGTCCTTTTTCAATTTTTCTTTGGCTTTGTCCACCCGTACAAAAACCCAAGAAGATATAGCTGTCAACAGACCTATTCGGAATCATCAACAATTTTTGGTCCTTTAATCTTTTTCTTGTAACACTTTTATATTTGCAAACGAAAACTAGTGTAATATGAAAATTGGGTGTTCTACAAATGAAAAATGAAACGTTGTTTCTTTTGAAGTGATCGTCAGGGAACCCCCAATGAATCAAATTGTGTGCAAAGACACGGACGTTGTCTTTTCTGAAATATAAAAGAAAAGGGAGAAAGAAACGTAAAATTTTGAAATAGATGAATCTGAGATTCTGAGTGATAAGGAGCAGCAGAGAAGCTTTTTTCACAACTGGGTTGATCATTCAGAAGAACTAGCAGATTCTACGCTTCTTCTGGTTAGTGTAATCTTTCTTTCTCTACCTTAGGAATCGGGAAGAATACTTAGCATGATGGTGTTCAACTTTTTTTGCCCCCTTCGATTTCAGGTTACTTGTGTTGAAATTTCGTTTGTTCAGGTTCTTGAATATATTATCTAGCAGTCTTGGAGTATATAAATGACCAACTTAAGAGAGATTGTAATAAAATGCCCTGTCATGATAGATTTTCTTGTGTGGTTGTGGTACTCGACGGAAACTTGAGAATTATATGCCGCAGTATACTTTTTCCTTACATGGGTTAAGATTTAAACTTAAAGGTTCTATGGGAGGATGGTATAAATCTGCATAATATATGTTTTCCAAGTTGCTCGATAATGTGAAGTTGGATGGCCGGTTATTATTTGATTAGTATGAAATTTTAGGGTTAAATGCTTTGCACTTGGGAAGGATGGTGACCGAATTGATAGATTTTGCTGAGTTCCAAGGTGAGACTTTGTCCGTGTTTTCTTGATTTGCCATCGTGTCATTGGCTATGGCTGTTTGTAGGACTTCCACTCAGAAGGAAGATTGACACGGTAATGGAGTTATTATTCGTTTTTTTTTTCTTTTTAAACAAAACTAAAAGAAGTCTTTGAGACCCTGCTGATGGATTACAAATTTACATGTGATCCGCAGTTCAATTTCTTAAGAGAGTCATGTTGTCTTTTGCCTGTCCGAGAGAATATACTGATGCTAGTTAAATAATCAGATATGCTCCAGAGCTCAAGCAAATCTTCTTTTAGTTCTACATAATATCTTATCCTTATGTTGTGCTTGCTCTTGAAATTCACAGATGTGCCCCCATTGTGATGAATTCTCTCATGGTGGCTGCAGAAAAGCTGGACCAATCATTCAGGAAAAGAAGAACAATGATGGCTCGCATTGCTTAAATTGCCCAAGGGCTGTTTCCCAGATATCAACTGTTAGTACGATGCCTGAAGGTTCGAATTCTATTGTAGTATATAGGAGAAAGAAACTGCGAGGCAATTCTGATTCCAGGTTGTCTGCTAATGGAACAGATTGTATTTCTTTTATTAGTTGTGATGGTGATTTGGGAGAAGAAAACGAGCAAGCTGCAGCCTCTCAACATGTCCAGGAGAGTGATATTGTTGGAAATATTGTCCCTCTTCCTCCTGTTTACGATGGAAAAACTCATGTTTCAGAACTGGAATCTGTCAATGGATGTACCATTGGGGAAGGACATGGTTCTGACGAAACACTTAATAATAACCTGCAGAAAAATTTGGAGGTTGACAGCATTAATGATAGCTGCTCATCATCAAAGTCAAATATGGAACTTGTTTCAACTTCCTTGAAGGTTGAAGTGGATGACACAGGCGAGTGCTCCTCTTCTAGTATTCAAGTTATGGAGGATATGATCGAGGATATATCAGGAAGAGATCTATGCATCTCTATCCTTAGAAGCAATGGGCTCTTGTCGTGTATGGCTCATGCTCCTAAGGAAGAAAGTAATTTTCAAAGCGACAGTAATTGTTTTCGGTCGTGTAAAATTTGTGGCTCTTCAGAATCGGTCTTGAAGATGTTAATTTGTGATCATTGTGAAGATGCATTTCACATCTCTTGTTGCAATCATCGGATGAAGAAAGTGTCAAATGATGAGTGGTATTGCAATTCATGTTTGAAGAAGAAACATAAAATGTTGAAGGAAACAATTACGAATAAATTGGCAAACATTTCGAGTAGAAGTGGATCCTCCAAGGGTGAATCAAATTCTATAGCGTTAATGTTAAAGGACACGGAACCATATACAACTGGTGTTCGGATTGGCAAAGGTTTCCAAGCAGAAGTTCCGGATTGGTCTGGCCCAATTAACGAGTATGTTATTTTCTTTAACTATATATTTCATCTTCATGCAAATGTGAAATCGGTGGCTTAGTTAGGAAAGAATTCTAGGAGAACGGATGATTTTTGTTTTTCGTTTTTAAACTAAATTTTATTTACCCTAGTGAAAAATAATATGGTCCCTAAAATGATATCAAAAGTATTAGTTGAAAGGTAAAGTAGTTATTGCTTGTGTCCCATGACAATATCTATGAATCAGAATGATTTCATGAAAGGACACAAAATTATAGGCCCTTTTTGTGGTCTTACAGATATTTGGCTCAAGAGAAATAAGAGAGTTTTTAGAAGTATGGAGAGTTCTTGGAGTGAGGTTTGGGTCTTGGCTAGATCCAATACGTATCTTTGGGTCTCTGTAATTAAAGATTTTAGTGATTACCATTTATCTCTTATTCTTATGAGTTGGAGGCCTTGCATGTAATTTTTGTAGTTTATTAGCCTTTTGTTTTCTTGCCCTTTTTATCTTAGGCTTTCATTTCTTAGTATTACTCTTGTTTATTCTTTCATTTCTCTCAAAGAAGATTAATCTTTTTTTTTTTAATATCGTTTGTATCTAGGTCAATTTATGCCCATATTGACTATTCTCACGGGCAATCCATCCAACTCTACTATATTTGGTTGTTGAAGAACTCATAGAACTTTAATATTCTTGGTCGGTAACCACCATGTATGAAACCATTCCCTCAAAGTACTTTTACCTTTTCATTACCTCTCATGACCATTAAGCCAACCCATGTGATTGAAATGGTGGAGAATTATAGATCTAGAAAGAAGGTGGGTTTCTAAGTATGTCATATCTAAATGAAATAGTTGTTTGTTATTAAAAAGAGGTTTAAGAAAACATATGGTAGATTTATGGGAAATTTTTGTTTGCAGCTATGAATGGAAAAGGTTTTTTTCTTATAAGAAACAACAAGCTTCATTCAAAAAGGGTAACGAAGGAGCAACAACCTAAGGGCAGGGGCCGATAAGGCGCCCCCCAGCTTTCCAATCACGAGAGAGTAAGACTATATTGTAATTACAAAAGAATCTCCTATTAGTAAGCACCAAGAGGTCGTTGTAATTTGTACGTTTTCACAAAAATTATTAAAAGGGATGGACTTGTTGAAAACTCTTTGATTCCTTTCCTTCCAAATACCCCATATTAGCGCTCGACTAGCACAATTCCACATAAATTTCGCTCTTCCTTTCAAAGAACCACCTTGGATGATTTCTAGAAGGCAGTCATCTATCAAACGAGGCAAACAACTAGCTAAGCCACATTCCATCATCAAAAAGGACTAACCTCTTGCTGCAAAGGTGCAATGAAGGAAAAGATGGTCAATTGATACCCCATCCCTAAGATAGAGAGAGCACCCCGAAGGAGAAATCATCCAATTCTGTAAATTTTTCTGAAGCTTATCCTGAGTGTTGATACTTCTATATGCCACACTCCATAAGAAGATTTTCACCTTTTTTGGACAGTTAAACTTCCAAATGTTAGTTAGAAAGGGAGCTTTGAGCTTTGGGGTTACTTCGGACAACTTAAGAAAAGTGGATTTGGTAGTAAAACGTTTCTCACCTTCTAAAGCCCATTCCACCTTGGAAAGTGAATGGAAAAGGTATACAACGGAATATGGATGAAGGGATGCATTTCTTTATTTTTGTTAGTGGGAGGCCGAGAGGAAGAATAGATGCGAGTGCAACAAAAGGTTTGAGATACATAGATCATGTCTTTGTGATGTCTTAAGTAGTTTAATTGGCCATGGTTTGTTTGGTGGTTAATTGAAGGATTACATGTTGGGAAAGAGAAAACCCTATATTCCACTTACAACTTGGAGATGATACTTCACTTTTCTGTAAAAATGTTGATTCCAATATTGGCAATTTGTTTGTAGTTTTAAAATTATTTGAGACAATGTTGGGTTTGACGACAAATTTTGAGAGATGGAACATTGGGGGAGGTTGTAGGAGCTTAGGATGAAGTGCTAATGTCCTCCTTTGTCTTACTTGGGAAATGCCTGGTGGAATCCTTAAAAAGGTATATTTTTGGAACATTATTCAGGAAAGGATATTAATGAAGTTGGGGAAGTGGGAATTTTTTCTCTTATCAAAGGGGGCTGATTAACACTATCCCAAGTCTTTCTATACCCTCACACTTCATGTCCATATTTTTGGATCCCAAGGAAGGTGGCATTGATGATATAGAAAGAAAGGTGAAGGACCTTTCTTTGGAGAGGAAACAAGGAAGCTTGAGTATTATTGTTAATTAAACATATCCCTCCCCTCTTAATGGCTTTGGAGATTTACCACAGCAAAGGAGGATCTTTGGAAGAAGGTGGGGGCTGTCAAGTATGGTGTCCTCAAAGGTGGTTTGCGGTCTCTCCCTAATATCTCCATGAAGTCGAGAGGGCCTTGGAGAGATTTTCTTAAAGTTGAAGATGTATCGACTTCTAGAATTAGCTTTATTGTGAGTAATGGTCTTTGAGTTACATTCCCTATACCTTAATTTTAAGAAACCTCTATGATTTGGAGATGTAAGGTTGGATCACCCTCCTGGATTCTCTCACAGGCTTTGCTGTCAAACACAATGATGATAGATGGAAGAGGTTGAGTGATGGATGTGGGATTTTTAATGTTTAATTGCTCTTCCAATGTCTTAGTCAAGAAGCCTCCATCCCAGGGAGCTTCTAGGATAGGATTTACAATGTTAAATGCTGGCTTGTGCAGATGGGTTGGAAGGATGGAGGTTGAAAGAAAGTGAAAGAATTCATTTAGGAACTCCTATGTAGAGTCGGCGGTTGTCTCATGAAATTAGTCGAGGTGCGCTCAAACTGACTCAGACACTCACAAATATCAAAAAAAAAAAATAATAATAATATTAGGGGTTCCTATTGCGTGGCATTCATATGCATGACTAAATCCAAAGAAAAAAAAATCCCAATATTGTTCTTTCTCCTAGCAAACGGCCCGAGGCTAGGGTAAGTTTAGGGGGGGCGCCTTATCGGCCCCTGCCCTTCCAACCCATCTATCATAAAGAATTCTTTCACTTTCTTTCAACCTCCATCCTTCTTTCAACCCATCCTCAAGCCCATCTATCATAAAGAATTCATTTAGTAGAGCTTACGTTACGTTATTGCTCTGCAGCCAAGTTGGTGTGAAGCCTTGGAGCTTACGTTTGTAGAGCAAACGGCCTGAGGCTAGGGTAAGTTGAGGGGGGACAGTGTGAGTGAGCTTTTCATCCATTGTCCTTTGGTATACTAGTTTTGGATTCACATTACCAACTCTTTTGAATGGCCAGCCTGATTCTTAGAGATATTCCCTTCTCCCTTCTTTCTCAGTGGAATACTCTCTAGTCTCTTAAGCAAAAATAGGTCTCCTTTGGCTAATTCCTTATCCCCCTCTTATTATGCTATATGCTGGACATTATTTCAATTTCTCTAAAATTTTTGTCTGTTGTTAAAAGCTCAGTTGTTTCTTTCTAGCCAAGTTACCCAAAAAAAAATTGTTCTCATGCAGTCAACCAAAGGGTCTTAGCCTTTCTTCTTAACCACTAATCTGAGATAATTTCAGGAAAAACAGTTTTGATATCCTTGTGGAAGCACCGGCTCAAGTTAAACAAGTTACCTAGCGGAACCCACACACAGTCACCAAGAAAACAGCAAATGAAAAGATGGTCTGTAAACTCTGGTCTCATCACTTCCAAGGCAATTTGGACAGGCTTGAGGATGGGGCATGTGGTGTGGGTTCTTCTTTTGTAGCTTGTATTGGGTATTGATGCTTTGGTATGATGGGTCTACAAAAAGAACTTTCCTTTTAGGAATTTTTTTCTTCCAAAGCTGCTTGGACAGTTGTCCCCCCAACTTGGCTGCAGAGCTAAAAGGAGCTGACGTTGTTGATCTGACCTTGAATATGCTACTGGAGTGTTTTGCCCACAGTAGCCTATTCTCCTCTAGTTTTCGGGAGAAATCATTCATTCTGCTAATAAGCACCATCCATTCTTCAAACTTCTCATCTTCCAAATTCCTTCTTAATTACAGATTCCAAACAAGCAAGCATAGGTCCTGAACATCATAAATAGTCTTCTTTTTTGGTAGGGAAATTCTATTGAGGCTTGGTTTAATGCACGTGGGCAAGGCAAGAGCCAAAAGGTCATTCCAAAATCTTATTCTATTTCCTTTCCCTATTTTGAAAAGGAAAGAGTTTCCCCATACTGTTTGCATTTAGAAATTGAGAACCAAGGGAATTTACAGTGTTTTTCTTTTCCTTTTCTAGTATTTTATTTTGTTTCGTTACTAGGTGGAAAATATCTTATCTTTATACCTATTGCTGTATGCATTTATCGATGTTAGTTTGTTTCCAATAATATATACCGTTGATTATCGTAAAGGAGTACTAAAGTTCAAGAAAAAAGATCTCTTTAATGAGTTTGTTCAAGTTTATATGGCTGCAACATATTTGATTGTTCAGGAAAAAAGTTTATCCTGCAGCTGCAAAGTTGGTGTTTACTGTGGGATTTCTGGAATTTTAGTATTGTAGAGGCCGTGCTTGAAGAACCAAACTAACCTTGACAGTGAAGTGGTGCATCTAGGCTCCTCCAGAGATTGTGTTTATCTTTTATTTCATACCTTTTTGGTGTAAATTTTCTTGCGTCCAAGCTAGGCTGAAGAAGTATAGGTTTTTGTTATTTTCTTTTTGCACATGCAGTTGCTGAAGGTCTTGTTGGAACAAGACTTAGTTTCATTGCTTATGCCATTTGTAGTTATAGTAAACAGTTGTAAAACTACATGTTTTTGAGGTGGTTTAAGTCTATGGTTAACTGACCAAGATGCCTCTTTTTTGGTGTATTTTACTCCTATATCAGTTACTAGATGGAAAGTGAGTAATGTGAGATCTGTTGAGGTGCATAATGGCATAAGCTATCATGAACCCTCATGGTTATCTCTAAGAGAAGCAAACGGAAAAAAAACATTGCTTACAGTAAACCTTTACTTGATATGATAAGGAAAAGTGTGTAACGTTAGGATGCAGAATTTATCCTTCAATTCCAGGTCACATTTCTTCTTGTTCCTTAAAGCATATATTTCTTTTTGGCTGGTGTAGTGATACTGATGCCATTGGTGAACCACTGGAGGTGGATCCTTCAGAATCTTTTCAAATGCATGTAAGGCATCAATTTGTCTTGTGTTAATTTTCATTTAGTAGCAAAGGTAAATGAAAAAATAGTGACGTGGTTTTCTACTTTCCAACCAACAAAATTATAGGAGCAGAGTACCAATAAGCCCTGTAGATTGAGCGCTATTGGAAATTGGCTTCAATGTCAACAAGTCATCAATGGAATCATATGTGGCAAGTGGCGCAGGTAAGGATTATGATATATCATATGCTGTTCTCTCAATCTCTCTCTCTCTCTAATTAATATCTCATTTATGTTTCCGAACTTAAAATTTGTTCTGTGTGATTTCAATTGCCATTACATTAACATGTTCGCTTGTTTTGGTTGTATAGGTTATTGCGTGTTTTTCGCATACATGATTGTTTAAATTGATTTCTTTAAATTTTAACCAGGAAGTAAACTTTATATTCATGTTTCTTCAGTTATTGTCATCATAATATTCCGAGCTTCCGAGTTAGGGGATGAAATCCTGATCTACTTTGTTTGTTGCTGTTGTTGTCGTCGTTTTTTTTCGTTATCTTGATTGTTGTTCATGATTTTGAATCTTTTTGTTAATTTTTTGAACATGCCAAAACTCGAGTCAACTTATTTTTCATTTTAATCTTGGTGTCGTAGGGCTCCACTTTTTGAAGTCCAAACTGATGACTGGGAGTGCTTCTGCTCTATCCTATGGGATCCAACACATGCTGATTGTGCTGTACCTCAGGTGAAATGACATCAATACTGGGTCTCTCTTCCTTTTTATCTTGTGTACACAATTATTCTTCAGACACAACAATATTTTAGGATTGTGCATTATTTTCAAGAGGCCATTGTGAAATCTTGAATGCTCGTTCATATGTCTATAGTGCGGCATTGGGGCACCTAACATCTTGAGCTGCCTATGGAAGGGGCATCCAAGGATTCTTTCGTTATCTT